CTGCTGGGCCACAACAGTAATCCTAGCCCTAATACCGTGTTTCCCAAAAATAAGACAGGGTCTTATTTTTTTTGACCCTGAAATTAGTGCTTAGCCTTATTTTTCGGGAGGTCTTATTATTTTTGAGGTGCAGGAGGTGGCAAGCATGGTCACCTTGTGGCTGCTGCTGTGTTGCAATACTTTTAGGAAGGGCTTATTTTCGAGGGAGGGCTTATTTTAGTGCATGCACTCAAAAGCCCAATTGGGCTTATTGTCCGGGGAGGTCTTATTTTCAGGGAAACAAGGTACCAACCTAACTTTTACCTAGTGCCAACCCAAAACCTGCCTCTAACCCAAATTCTAACCTTAATTCAAATACTAATGTCAATGCCAACACTAAGTCTGATGCCTATGCTAACCCTAAACTTAACCCTCACTCTATTCCTAACACTAATGTCAATGCCAACCATAACCCTGACGTTAAGCTTAATGTTGGCCTTTTGCTGTCACATCAGGTTAGCCAAATTTAACATTGATTTTTGAGGCAGACTTCAAGAAACACTAACTGTAACCTTAATTCTAACCCTAATACCAATGCTAGCGGGGAGGAGAGAGAGAGAGAGAGACAGAGATAGAGACAGAGACACAGACATTTCCCCTAGAAATGGATTTGTCCTCCTGGGAAGTTTGGAGTAGAAGATAGAAGGGAAGGGAAGAGGGGACAATGATTCCTTTATTGCAATAGGACTGGAATCAGAGGAAGCATTATCTGCCCCACTTCTTTCTTACCCCTGAATTTGTGTGTGCAAAACATCTGTTGTGCTTTGTGGCTAACAATGGGTAACCAGGGGTTGCAAGCACAGTTCACTCTTCTTTAAGCCAGCAGAATTTTCTCCCAGTTCCATGCTGAATAGCAACTTTAGTGTTGCCACGTAGAAGAGCCCTTAGTATCCAATAGCCATTGATAAGACCTGTCCTCCATGAATTTCTAGTCTTTTAGAGTCAATCAGAATAGGGGCCATCACCATGTTTAGTACCAATCTAAAGTTTGCTTATGTACTATGCAAAGAAGAACTTCCTTTGTCTGTTCTAAATCTCCTCCCTATCTGCTGTAATCACTGGCTATTGTTATGGCAAAGGATGTAAAACATCCCTGTGACCATTTTATGCCATGCGTGGTTTTATAAACCTAGAACCTGATCTCCAACACTCCATCAATCTTTTTCCAAGTCCAAGAGTCCCAGGTGATATAGTACCTCCAGCTGGACAGATGCAAGAATGCACTGCAATCATTCCCAAGAAATTGAATCCTCAATACTTTGCTGTTATGTCTACCTCACACTTCGCAGCCATGTAAGATGCAATACTGTGATAAAAGTGCCACATACACGGCAAAAGTCAGTCAGGTTAATGGAACCCAAACCTGACGTAGAATGTTCCTATAAGATGAGCATTCATTTTGGATAAACAGTACCGGTAAAAAGTTATTTGTTTTGGTAAATGTTTAGTACAAATGTATGTGGGTTTTGCCAACAAAGACCCCAACCACATACGAGAATACATTTCCCACATCTCCAGCTGCACAGCAGAAGGGGCTGTGATTAAAGAGCCCCCAGGAGCCCAAGGCCATTTTCCCTCCTCTTTAAGTGCTGCTCCACTGGCAGCTGCCACAAGTGCAACCTATGTTTCCAGTTCTTTGGGGCAGGTTGGATTACAGGGTTTAGTGGCTGAGGTCTAGACAACAGATTTCCTGAAATTTTGCCAGCAACTTTGGCTGCCATATTCAGAGGCGAGGTGGTTTGCTACGCAGACCCCAGGCAACTGAGCAGGGACGGACTGGGCTTCTGTCTTTGTAGCCGGGTAACTTGACTTCTATTTCAGCTGAGCTGGTTCCTGAGGGAACTTCAGGAAATCTGTTACCTAGACCAGTGGCTCCCAACCTTTTGGGGACTAGAGACCGATTCCATGGAGAGAGGTTTTTCCACGGATCAGAGAGAGTGTGATTATGTGTACTGCAAGCATTTTGCAGATGGGGCCTAGTTTCTGGCAAGCCGTGGGTTGGGAACCTCTGACCTAGACCACAAACACTAAACCCTGAAGTTCAACATTGTTAACTGATACTGGACAGGAAACTGCACCAGTTGCCTTTATTTGTTTTTATTGATAATGCTGAGTAGCTGATTCCCAGACAAGCTGGAAGCCGTGGACAGTGGGAAAGCTAGCTGGGCCGTGACTCACAGGCTTACTTACCCAGGCAGGCAGATCAGGGCTGCTCAGTTGGGCCGCAGGGACCGCGGGGAAAGCCACAGAGACTGTGTGGTCAATGCAAGCGAGGAGCCACACAGTGTGCTATGCCAGGGAGCCGAAATGAGGAGTGACTGAGCAAGGCGGAGTGAGTGGGTGGGCGGGTCATGAGGGAGCAGGCAGGCGAAGGGTCAACCAGATGTGGTATTTGCCAATTTTCCGAATTACTCAAAATTTCCACTACCGATTCGCCTGAACTGATCCGAACCAGCTGAATACCACCTCTGATCAGCACCCATTTTGCTCTTCATTGCAAACAGTTTTTAGTGTGAAGAGACTCGGATTATGATTTTACTGTTTAATTTTTGTGACGGAATCCCAGGAATAAGTAAAGTCTAGCTATGTCCATATTACTGTTTGGTTTTAATAATTTTTAAATTGATATTGAGTATTTTGAAGACTGTGAAAGGCTTTTTCTTAAAGCCACACTCATTCAGCAAATTATGAATCATAACACACACACACCCGCAAATCAATTGATATATTAGGTTTGTTTAATTAACCCACAAAACCAGTGGTGAAATATTCTGTTACATATAGTGTTTTTCTTCTTTTCTAGGGAACAAACCCCCTCTACAGAGGCTCCACAACAACTTTTAAGAATGTAACATACAAGCAAAAGGAAAGGCAACGTGGCAGTCCTGCCAATGCATACTAATAATTCAAAATTATTGGAAAAAAACAGTTCTGGAAAACTTTTATTTTTTTAAAAAAGGAAGTTTGCTCTGTTTTCTTCTAAATTTGTTTGGAGGGTTGTAGTAAAACCACTATGGTGGTATGGAAGTTTTAAGGTGAGAGCATATGTGCTTTCAAAAGTGGGACTGTTTTGGAACCAGGCAGGGAGCTGAGCAGCAGTAGAGGAGATTAAATGACAAAGAACCATCTGGGCATGTAGGAATGCACCAATTAAGCATGACATGAAAATAATATCTGGTGCAATTTTGCAGTAATGAGATTTGGGGAATTGGTCTGAATGACCTTTCAAGAAACCCATTTCAACTCTTCCTTCTGATCTCAAAGTAATTCAAGATGTTAGAACAAAGCATCTTCTCAAACTCTGCTAAGGAGTATAGTTCAGCCAGTTTTGTCAGTCCCAGTCAGCATTTTACTGCACGTTTAAGATATACCTTTGGAGTATTTGCACCTTAAATATTACTGGATAAAGAAACAGATTTCAGTTTTTAAAAGAAAGAAAACTTGGGAGAGAAAAGCGTTCCTGATTTATTAATAAAGTACCCAGCACTTACAGCTGTATTTTTAACCATGGTGCAATCTTAGGTATTCTGTTTGGAAGTCCCATGAAGTTAAATGAGAGAGTTTCCTATGAAATGTTTAGCCCTCTAGACTAGAGGTTGATGGATTGAGGAGAGCCATGTTGTCTAAAGATGAATGAAGGTGATGATGAGGGATATGATGATGACCAGTAGTGGGACTCAACCGGTGTAAAAATCAGTTCGCTGAGCACGCGCACAATGTGTTTGAAAACAGCTCTAAAACTTACCTTCCATTGCAGCCCCGGTGAGTAAAACAGCTGAGGTACAGCAATCCCCTCTGCAGTCCCTATCAGCTGGGCTTCAAACAAAGGAAATATAGGACAGACTAGCGCATTGGAGAGAACTGCTCACCGGAACTACTGGTTCACCCGAACCGGTCCATACTGGCTGAATCCCACCCCTGATTATTGACTAAGAACATAATATGTATGGTCACTAGATTTTTTTCTATGGTAGCTTTCAGATTCTTCACCCATTTGATTTTTTGTATTGTGTCCAATGGCATCTCTTGGGTGAACCACCATTTTGCCCTCTAGGGCAACCCGAATACATACCATGTGCTTTCCAAATTACAATACATCTAATGAACCCAAACGTTGAGGACCTATGATTTAAGAGAGTTGCTTTTCCCCCCAAATATGTAAATAAGATTTAATACAGTGGGTCTCAAAGATCTGTTATGCTGCAAATATGGTTTTTGATAATGCAAATTTTAAAAGATTGTTTTAAAAAAAAAAAAAAGAAAAGAGTATGTGTGTTTTATCCTGAATATAAGTTGGATAATGGTGATGGGAGTTTTTATTATGAATGTACTGTGCATTTAAGACACTGGAAACATCTGTTGTTTTTACTGAAATGGTTTTGACCCAAGGCTGGACCTAAAATAAGGCCAAAACATTATCAGTACTGTAATATTATTATTACTCTTTGGAGTCCTTTGGCATTATTTTCTAATATGCAAATGGAACACTTTTTTTAAAAAGAAAGGAATGTTGTGTTACATTTTTAATACGTTGATATGTAAACTGATTTTTTAAATTGTTTTCACATAGATTCTGTGATATAAAATGGATAAGTAAAAGAAAGTCAAATATTTTTACTGAGATTGATTTTTACAAACCCTGAAATCTATAGACTCGTCTACATTTTATCTGTGCATGTTATATGAACAAGCTGGTGTTGTTAACTTACAGGTAGTCCTTGACTTATGACCATTCATTTAGTGACCATTTGAAGCTACAACGGCACTGAAAAAAGTGCCTTATGGCTTGTCCTTGCACTTATGTCCAGTGCAATGGCTTCACGGTATTTGAGTGGTATTCAGGCACTTGGCAACTGGCATATATTTATGAGTGTTATGGGATCATGTGATCACTATTTGTGACCTTCCTAGCTGGTTTCCAACAAGCAGTCAATAGGGAAGCCAGCAAAGAATGTCACAAATCATGATCATGTGAAGTCTTGCTTAAAAAGTGCAGTGTGCTGTTTAACCACTGTGGTTAAAAAGATAAAATCAGGTGCAATTGTGTGATCCACCATATAATGACTATACCACTTAATGAAAATTTTCTGGTCACAATTGTAGTTATAAGTCAAGAACTACCTGTAAACTGTGGTTTAATTCACTAAGGTTAAACATCAAGTACAACCATTTGACCTCCTTGAAATTGATTTTTAAACCCTCCTCCTCTAGTCAACTTACTGTTTATGCATAATAACACCATTGGTAGGGGACTGGAGGCTAAAACATTTGATGAATGGTTGCAGGGATTGGGTATATCTAATTTAATGAAAAGAAGGAGGGACATAATAGCAGTGTTCCAATATCTCAGGGGCTGCCATAACAAAGAAGGGATCAACCTATTCTTCAAAGCACCTGAACGCAGAACAAGAAGCAATGGATGGAAACTAATCAAAGAGAGAACCAAGATAGAACTAAGGAGACATTTTCTGACAGTTAGAACAATTAACCAATGGAACAACTTGCCTCCAGAATCTGTGGGTGCTCCATCTGGAGCTTTTCAAGAAGAAATTGGGCAATCATTTGTCTGAAATGGTACAGGGTCTCCTAGTTGAGCAGTGGTTTGGACTAGAAGACTTCCAAGGTTTCTTCCAACTCCGTTGTTTTGTTCTTCTATTCTGGTAACCTGTGGTCTAAATTGTCTATTTATTCCTTCTGATTTAGTGGGCCACTGTATATTTCCCAGAGTTGGCTCCTTTCTTTCTTTTCTCAGCAGCCCAGAGCTATCTTTCAGATTACTGACCCAGAGACATTTTGTAAAATAAAGCTGAGGAGTCAGAAAGCTGAGGAGGAAGAAACCAGGATTGTACATCCAAGTTGTACAAAGAGATACATTACCCAAGCAGTTTTCTGTAACATGACTATTAAGTTTGTATGTGATAAAAATAAATGCACATGTTTAAAAACATGTGACTAAATGAGCTAATTATTATCCACTTTTGTGAAACATATAATATACAGCAGTTGTATATACTGTATTTTTCAGAGTATAAGATGCACCGTTTCCCCCCCAAAAAGAGAGTGAAAATTTGGGTGTGTCTTATACACCGAATGTAGCCCCACCCACCCTCACCAGAGGCCAAAAACAAGAGGCATGGAGGCAGCGATGCTGTGCGGCAATCCCTACAGCCTGGAACAGCTGATTGGGGGTATTCCAGCAGTCCGATCCACCCACCAATCAGCTGTGCTGAATCAGGCTGCAATAAGTGCTGAAGCTGACCTGGCTGGTCAGTTGCAGCAGCAATCGCATTCAGAAAGCACACACTGATTCAGCAGGATTCAAAATAATAATAATATACAATACATTACCAAAAGCAGGTTTTCCAAGGTAGCAGTAAATACAAACAAAACACAAGCA